TTTTAAAGGTATAGAGTATACCCCCTGTCAGGCTATTATGCTTATACCTTCTCTTATCATTTCTTAACAGCCTGTACACATTAGGATTACACCTATAAATTATTTGTAGATTCCTATTTCTGGCAACTTTCTTAACCATTTTGTTTAGAAATGGAAAGTAATTAAGCACAAGCCTTTCCCTTTGTTCCTTTTCCCTTTCAGAGCACAAACTTTTCCCTTTCAGAAATAAAGCCTCATTGCTGTCGGCTTTATTTCTGAAAATTTGTAATAAGTGTATCAATTATCCTTCTTCGGTATCCTTGTTGCACTGCTATGCTCCGTATATAATCCAATTCTTTATAAGTATCATATAGGCTATGCTGGTTCAATGTGTGTAAGCTCCTTTTATCCAAGATCGAAAAGCTGCCATTTTGATGTGTTCTGGATCTGAGGAATTCCTAGGATGATGATGGGTTGATAAACTAGCTTATGGCAGGGGTGCACAACCTGCGGCCCGCGGGCCACATACGGCCCCCTATCAATGTTTATGCGGCCCGCGGACGGTACAGGCCAAATCCCTTCTTTCGAAGTTTCTAAGTGTAGAACTTTTTCCCTTTCACAAAGTCATTAGCACCCAACTGTTTTATGACTTTCCCTGAGGTGAGAAATGGGGGATTGTTCTATAAATAAGTCTATTTTTAGCTAACACTTTCTGCTTTAGATATCGAATATTTTAAAATGATGTTAGAACGTCATTTCCGATGTTATCGGGAAGTTTCTATTTTGGCGGGAAATCTTCAATTTTATGCTTCGGAAAACTTGCCTATTCGTCTAAATAGCGTCAAATAACAAAAATAAGTGAAAATAGCGCTGAAAAACCATGAAAATAACGATTTTTTAGCATTTGTTTACATTCTAGATTCTGATTGGTATAGTCGAATTTGAATCAATCTTTTCTGAAAAGACGCTTATTCGTCAACCTAATGTCATTCAAACTAGAAAAAAACTAACCAGAGTTCAAAAAGGAATGTACAAAAAGCTATAAAACCAATAATTTACAACAATATCTCTCCATAGACAAAGAATAGAAAAAAAATTTTTCACATCAAATTTATTATTATTAAGTTGGACCAAGAAAATTAATACTGTAGTTGGAATAGAGTCATTACGACTAAAAGGAAGCCATTTGCATTAAAATATTTTGGATTTAATAATTATTACAAACCGCGTCAAGCCATAAACTTGTCAACAAAGAGGGTTGTAAAATGATTCCGTGTAGCTAGAAAGCTGCGGTTTTTTTTGTTTGAAAGAAAACAGATATATTTAGGTTATTTAAGTAGTAAATTAATTGGAACTTTTTATTTACTTTTATTTTTACATTCTTTTTTTCGTAAATTTAAAATTAAATTATTATTTTTAATTTTTATTTTATTTGAAATTTAACAGTCGTAAACTGTGATATATTTAGGACAGAGAAAAAAAAAAAAACAGATTGATTCTAGCGCCAATTTGAAACGAGATATCGCAATTTTAATAATTATATTTAAAATATTCAGATTTTCCACTGCACTGTGTTAATCACTTTTGATTCATTTCTGAACACGGGGGTAAAACTGACGGGCCATAAATATAATTTAGGTAAGAATGGTAACCACATTTATGATGGATTAGTGTCCTGCACCTGGCATGTTGACGATCTGACTCACAAATTCTGAGAAATGGTGGAGACGCCCGGACAGGGGTCGAACGAATTAAGACCTGCCTGGCCACGTGTGCGTAATAGTCTTCTGTCCCCGCCTCTTTAGTCTTTGGTCAGAGTGGATACAGAACAAAGCACGTGGTAGTCTAGCTTGCCTTATCTCAAACATGATTTGTTGCGGGCCTCAGAATTTTCGGCACAATGAGACATTGTTTTGCAGAGTGAACAGTATGGCGCCGGGCATTAAACGCAAGGTCAATCGCGAGAATCATCAGTTTCAAGAAGTGGAAGTGTGGACTAACAAGTACTGTTTTGTGCAACAGAACAACAGCATTATTTGCCTTTTGTGCAATGGAACAATAGCAGTGCCAAAAGAATTCAACCTGAAGCGACATCATGAAAGCCAACACAAGGATTTCCTTCTGCAAGGTATGGAACGCAAACAGAAAATTGAATCGTTACGACGATCACTAATCAGCCAACAAAATGTGTTCAAGAAACAATCTGGAGACTTGGAGAATGCGGCTGTTGAAGCCAGCCTAGAAACATCTGCTTTAATAGCCAAGAATGGGAAACTTTTCACAGATGGCGATATGATAAAAAAGTGTCTTTATCATTGCAAGTGAGATGTGTTCTGAGAAGACCAGTGTTTTCAAACAATCAGTCTTAACCACATGACGATACAACAAAGAATCTCACAAATTGCATCAGACATTTCTGGCCAACTTATATTTTAGTTGCAAACTGCTTATTTTTCTTTGGCTGTGGAAGAATCCACTGACATATCTTGTGCTGTTGATGATATATCAACAGCACAAGTGATTGTGTTTATTAGAAGTGTTTCACTAGATTTTATTGTGAATGAAGAATTTCTTGGCATGGCATCACTTTCTGGACATACAACTGGTGCTGACTTATTTACTAGTTTATTGAGCGTTTGCAACAAATCAGCACTGGACTTTGACAAGCTATCTAGCATTGCCATCGATGGAGCACCATCTATGGTTAGATGTGAGAATGGCATGGTCACCTTGCTGAAAAACCACCTTGGGAAAGGCAAAAGGAGTTAGTCCAGTATCATTGCATAATTCACCAACAGCAACTTTGTGCAAAGAAGCTGGGATTTGAATGTCTGCTGAAAGATGTATATGATACTGTAAACTTAATCCGCAGTCATGGACTCAACCATCAACTCTTCACATCATTTCTTGAAGAAATAGATGCTGATTATGCTGACCTGCCCACGTATACTGAAGTTCGTTGGCTGAGCAAGGCAACAGTCCTCAAGAGATTTGTGGAGCTATTGGGGCCTATTATCACTTTCCTCAAAGAACGGGGGAACACTACAAGGAATTTGGAGGGACAAAGATGGCAGTGTGATTTAGCTTTCCTTGCTGACATTACTGCTTATCTAAACGACCTTAATTTGAGATTGCAGGGAAAGATGCAACTTGTTTCTCAGTTGACAAGTAACATCAATGCATTTATGACCAAACTATCACTTTTCAAGTCCCACATGCAATCAGAGAACTTTACACACTTTCCACATTGCAAGGCCATGAAAGAGAAATACCCACATATGAAGATGGATTACTCTGACCAAGTTAACACCCTCCTTACATCATTCAATGAGAGGTTTGGTGAATTCCAGAAATACAAGATCTACCTGCAACTTTTTTCAACTCCATTTGATGTGAAAGTGGAAGATGCCCCTCCAGATGTCCAACTTGAGTTGATAGACATCCAGTGCAGTGATGAATTGAAATCACAGTTCAAAAATTCTAATCTCCTCACATTCTACAAAGAACTGCCAGATACATCATTTCCAAAACTGAAAGACAATGCTCGATTTTGTGCAAGCATGTTTGGCAGTACCTATGTATGCGAACAAGCGTTTTCGCTTATGAATTTAAACAAGTGCAAAACACGGAACAGGTTAACCAACGAGAATTTGGAAAATCTGCTGGTTGTTTCAACATCTGCCATTACACCAGACATCAAGAAGATTGCCGCCAGCATCCAATCTCAGCCATCGCATTAATCACTTGGAGGTCCGGCTCCCAGTCAGTAAACTTAATTCTAATTTGGCCCTTCTTCAGAAAAGGTTGTGCATCCCTGCTTATGGTATATATTTGTTCTGATCCCTCCTTCTCTGCATGTTATTGTTAAATCTAGGAAGTTAACATTACTCTCACTTTCTTGGTCTAGCTCCAATGTTAATCCATACAGGTTATTGTTGACTATGCTTATAAAATGGCATGTGTTATGATTGTTTTTCCACAAAATGAAGATATCATCCACATATCTCGCATATATTAGTATATCTTTTTGGAACATTGGTAGGATATTGCTTTCGAGCTTACACAGTACTAATTCACAGAGTACAGCCGACATAGGGCTACCCATTGGTATGCCCCCGTCCTTGCAGGTATGTCTTACCTTCAAAATCTTAGACCAAGGTGTGGCAAATCAAATCAGTTAACTCCAAAATGTGCTTATGGTATTTCATTGTATTTTTGATGTTAGCAAATAAAAAGTTCCTCAAAGCACAAAAACCAGGTGGTAATTTAATTGAAGGATATAATGCTTTGTAATCCAGGACAGTCATCCTTGTCCAATTCCTTGTCCTTAAGTGTAATACTCTCTAGTTTCTGCACCAATTGTATTGAATTTTTTATTGAAAAGGGGTACTCTTGGATTTTTTCCCATATAAATTTAACTAGTGGCTTTTCTATTCCGAAAGTAGGTGCATTGCATTTTTATACCACTGGGCATAATTGTGAGCCTGGTTTATGTGTTTTCCCAAAGGCAAAGATTCTTGGCGTTCTTGGAGCCTGAATGACAGCTTTCTCCATATTTAAAAGATGCACTAAAGGAGTTAAGACGAATTTCCTGACTCTTTGTTGTAATGCTTCTAAATAATTATCAGGTGCAATAAGACATTCTGTATTGCTAATGTGTTCTTGCAATTTCTGGTTATACAAATCTCATTTGAGAAACACTATACCCTTGGATTTATCTGCCTGACATGGAAATGAGCAGTTTATTATGCATCTTTCATTTATATCAGCAGATGACATGATTTAACACTGTACGATAGTGGACAGTATTAAATCATGTTATCTGCTGATATGCTGATCTGTGTAATATATCCAGAATATTAGTAATTAATTTAGTTTTAATCAAGAAACTTTTGGTGTAATAATTAAGTTTAATAAAATATTATAAATTTTATATATTTAGTTAAAATCATCTTGATAATTATATTACCTAGTCTATTTCTAAGTTGATCTGTTTATATATAAAATTTATTTTATTTCAGAGTTTATAAAAAAAAAAGAAGAATGCATTAAAACTAAGAATTAAAAAATTTGATGTCTATTATCAATAAAATTAAACTATGAAATTATGAATACAAGAAGTAAAGAAGTTAAGCAAACACGTCAGAGGACAAAATTAAGGGAAAAAAAGCATTTTATTACAACATCGAGAAATACATTAACAAAACCACCTTCTTCAAATACTTATAAGAAAACAAAAAAGTTAAAATCACTCAAATTAAAATGTAATCAACTGCAGAAAACATCAAAAACTAAAACTGTTGCTGTATCTAACAACAATGATGATATATCTTCAAAATTAAAATCATTCATAACAAACAGATCTACAGAAGAGAGAGAAAATGTTAATAAACAAAAGATTGAGAATATTGATAGGGGTAATGATAAATGCTCAGGATTTTATTTAAGATCATCAATTATGCAAAAGTATGGTAAAATGACCTATAATTCAATGGTGCCAATGACAAATAGTAATACTTTATTTCTGGATGATGAAATGCAAAAGAATGAGAAAAATACTAAATCAAAAAAGGATAGTTTTGAAGTTTATTCTTCAACCAATTATTGTAATAAAAACTTTGAATTTTTTGAAATGCAGCATTCAAATATCATACAAAGAATAGATTCATCTTCATCCTGTGTAGATAAATCACCAACATTCTGTGATGAAATATCAACGTATAAAGAATGCAATTTAGATGTTACTCATAATTCTTTGTGCAATAGAACTAAAAATGGAAAAGAGAAATTTGCAAGGCATACTTCTGAATTACCATTCTCAAGTGAGAAATCAATTGAGTTAAATTTGAAGAATTCATTTGAATCCCTAGAAAGTGATGATAAAATTATAAAAAATAAAAATTTATCTCGGTTTGCTGATGATAAACAGTTAAAAGAAATAACAAAAGATTCTTCTTTACCATTATTTTTAACTGGAACTGATCATGTGCAATATCCATCTGAAGCAGAAACAGCCCCACAAACACCACAAGGAGAAATATTTTTAAGTGGAGTTGTTTCAAAAATTCAAAGAAAATTTGGTGAAGAGAAGGGTATTGTAAGTTGTCATTGGGTTTCACCAGATGATTTTCATGTAAAAGCATACTCTCTTGTAAAACAAAATATTTCTGAAAATTGCGAATGTAATAGTATCAATTGTGAAAATATAAATTATTCTGTTGAAAATGAAACCAAATCTGAGAATATTCAAATACATTCAGTAAATGACAACAATAATTCTTCATCTACTGTTAGCAAAACTAAAAAACATGGTGGTAGAAAAAGTGAAATTGCACTTTTGCATGAATCTCTTAAGGAAATTTCTTGGGCTAAAGATTTAAATCCTGCATGCATGCTTACTAAAGAAAGGAAACATCGAAATGTAAAATTACAGAACTGCCTGTTAGAAAAATCAAATAAAAATTCAAAATTTCCAAAAAAGCAAATATCCAAACAGTCAAATCAAATTATGAAATTAAGTCATTCATATAAAGAAGAATTAAATAATCTTTCATTAAATAAATATAGTAATACCAAAAAACAGTTTGGATCTGACAAAATGATCAGTGATTGTAAATATTCACCTTCTCAGAATAAAAGCTTTAAATTAAATATTCTTAATCATAGACAATACATTAAAAAATGTCCAAAAAAACTCCAAAAAGAAATAACAGTAAATCAATTAGCTACTAAATCTAAAAATAAAAGTATTAAATCAAATTTGTGTTCTGTAAACAAAAATGAATCAAAAGCTTTGAAAAATAATAATGATAAGAACTTTGTTAAAAATTCAAATGAAACTCAGACAATTCCAAATATTAGAAACTCAAAACAAAGGAAAAAATTTTCTGAAAATTTTAAAGGATCGAGTATTCAAACAAAACCCAAAAGTTTGAAATCTCAAAGTGATTTAAAAAGTAGTGCTGTTGATCAGTGTCCTGAATTAAGAGTTTCTCTTGAACCTTTAGAAGAAACCTGTTTATGGGAAGCAAAAAGAAAACAAAGTAGAACCCCATCAGAAGCATATAAATTACTAAAATTGAAAGGTATGTAGAGTAAATAAAATGGCATATTCAGTTATTAGAACTGTTAATCTTAAATGTTATACTTAATGTCTTTCTTTCTATGTAATGTGAAAGCTAATATTACTATGAAAGCTAATATTAAGTTTTTAATTATAAAACATAGCAGATATTAATTTATTAATTTTTTGTTTAAAATTGAATGTTTTTATATAATAATGCTTGAATGTCATAATAAGACTTATTTTTGATATTTATTAATTTATTTGATGTCAGCATTTAATGTTTTATTATTCAGTAAGAAGCTTTCAGATGTTGCAAAACCTTAAACTAATTAATAAATTTTAATTAGTTTAAGGTTAATAATAGATGGCAATAAACTTATTTGTCTTTAGTTCAAATTTGTAAGTCATTAATTAATTAACTAAATCAAACACTTTTGGTATAATATTTAATCTTTACATATTAATTACATATTTATTTTAATTTATATATGTGTTAATATGTAATAATAGAATAATATGTAATAAAATGTGTAATCATTATTTTATAATTTATTTTAATGAATATAAATTATTTACAAGATATATTTCAATTAAAATTTAGATGAACAAAAATATCATAACTTGAAGACAACTTGGAATGTACTAAGTTCACAACAAGTATTTTCTAGTAGCATTACTCATAATATATTTTCATCTTTTTATACTAATGAAGAATCAAGACACTCCCTACCAACATTAAGAACTTCAAAACGCAGAAGGTATGAAGAAGAGACAGTTAGATATAGTGTTCGTCAGAGTGAATGTGCCTTTCGATATAAAGAAATTGCTGTGAAAAAACATCAAAATTTTATTCAAATAATACTTGTGCCAAACAGAAGTCGGCATAATTCTCTCACAGCTGAGGTAAGAATACTAATTTATATATTTTTTTATATATGTACTTGTAATAAAATCATTATCTGTTTGTTATGTTTATAGTACTTTATATATCTTATTCTTTTTCTAACAAATAAGTATTAAGTTCAAGACAAAAAAAAGCTTCTGCAGAAAACATTTTTAATCAAAATGTCACTATCTTCAGCTAATTTTCATTAGAAAAACAATTTACAGCTTAAGGTAAATCTATATACATAAATGAGGATGTTTGTTTGTTTGCTATATACTCCTAGACTGTTCAACTAATTGCTGCAAAACTTTCAGTTATGTTCAAATACTTCTAACAGATAATGTCATAATCCCACTCTATAGAAATAAAACCGATATTTTGGAGTGGGATTACGACATTTAATTAATTTCTAGCTACATTTGATTTGCTGGCTTTACATGTAGCACCAACTATTGGCAAAAAATTTAAGAAAATAAACTAAATATAATTCTGATTAATTTTTTGAAGACAAAGTCCTTCCCAAAAAGAGGAACCACCATTTAATAACTTTGTGTTCCAGACATTACACTTTTGGCGACTGAGGACACTTGGGACTGTTTGGCAGCAAGTAGCCTAAAAGGCTACTTGCTGCCAAACAGTCCTTTAAAAAACACAAATATATATCCAATTTTAAAATATAAACATTTTTAAAAAACAGGAACTGGTGATGTACGGACGTCTTCTATTCTCCATCATACCTTCTTGGGGTTTCGGCTTTTATCTACAATGAAATAGGTTCCTCTTTTTGGGAAGGACTTTATCTTCAAAAAATTAATCATAATTATAGCCATCGGACGAAGATTTACATAAATATAATTCTTACAAAAAATGATATAATTTTAAAAGATATGTGTTATATTCACTTAATTACTGCAACAATGATATAGTGCAAAATAGAGTCACTATATCGTTACTGCAACAGGTAGCACATAGCACTTGCCTGCGTGGAATCAAGTGTTGTTCTGTGAAAAGTCTATCCACAACTTTCCAGAGAAAGTTCATGCATTTTCCCGTACTGTAGTGTCACCATCGCACCATCATTAACATACTGCAAGAACTATGGAACTGCAGAACTGTAGAATTCAGAATATAATTGATTTTGAAATAACTAATAGAAATTCATTTATAACAATCATTTTGTTAGTAATTAATAAAAGTTTTATATTTTAAATTATAAAGAGAGTATTTTTGATCATTTTTATGCAAGTTTAAATTTTTCCTGATGTAAAATAAAAAAGTACATAGAGTATCGATTATCCAAATCAATTTGGGACTGGAGTTTTTCAGATAACCGATTATGTATGAAAAAATATATTAACCTATCCCATGTTGAAATTTGTTCAAATCCTGGCACGTCCTTAAGTACCCTCTAATGGTCGCGCCAGTGCTGCCAGCTAAAATGCGCACACCAACAAAAATAATATTGGAGTAGCCCAAGACATAGCCAAAGATTGCAGTGCCACAGCACTAGCAGAAATTTAAATTTGCTGACTGGAAAGCTTTCGGTTAATTGATGTTTCGGTTGATCGTCATTCGGATAATCGATGCTCTACTATATCTACAAACTTGTGTTTTGTAATTTAGTACTTGGAAATAGTGCTTTCTTTACCTTATTGAGCACATGTGTAAATTTTGCACGTGAAAAGCCAGCAGTGCGTACCGCCAAATTGATGATATCTAACTCAATTTTTATCAGCTCCTGCGTAGACGACAGTAAATAAGCCCTTCTGACAAGGGAGGCAATGGCAGCATTAATGTATCGAGAAGGCTGAAAGGCCTCTGCTGGTATAATGTGCGGAGCTATGCTAGATTTGTGATGGACTGAGAATTGTAGTCCTTCCGAAGATTTACGTATATGCAAGTCTAAGAACGCTACTTCTGCATCGCTTTCTTTCTCCCAAGTGAAATTGATGGAAGGATACATACTTGTGAGTTGTTGCATAAAGATGAGGAACGACTCCTCTGTGTCAACGACTCCTCTGTGTAATTTATTTTCAGATGGACAGTTGTTTTCACCAATTAGTACTATAGTCATGTAATAACAACATGAGAAAATGATCACCTTTGGAATATCCAGCTATGTTTGAATGCCTTATTAAAAGTAAAGCCTATGATTGCCAAGCTTAATTACAGGAGTCTTGACTCTTATAGTTATTTTTAAAGTGGTAAAGTAGGTGAAATTTTAATTGACAATTGTCACAAAATTTTTGTGTCCTTAAGATAAATGTAGAGCAGGAATGGGCAACCTGCGGCCCTCAGGTTGCATGTGGCTCACATTAATTAATACTGTACTTTTTGCGGCCCACATTGCATAAAATATGAATAAATATATCAATTTCCCAGCTTAAGGAAATGTGCAACATAAATTCAAATGTTATTTTCTACAACTTATGTATATGAATAGTTTTTCCCACAATCAATTTAGTAAAAGTTAAAAAAAGAAAACTAGCTAACAGACTCACATCAAACTTCTTGGATCTGAGAGTCATCAAAGGGTATGATGTAATGATGTAGAGTGACATTGAGTTGATGACTGGATAATTGGTAGTTGACCCTATGACAATCAAACAAATTTCATTTGACATCATCTCTGACCAGTTTGCTGCTATATCGTCTATTTTCTACTAGGTTTAATAGCTACTAGCTATTCATTTCTTTGATATTTTAGAAATATCAAATAAATATTGGTGATTAATTTTTATATATTAGCTATTAATTAAGGAATACATAAAACTGACAATTTGAATATTTCTCATATCAAGAACAAAGAATTAAATATATTTTTAGTAGTTTTAAATGAACTAATTTTTGAATTTAAAATACATTTTTATCACAAAATTGTACGTGGTATGATCCAAAAGTTTGGGGACTGCAGTAATGTATGACAACAAAAGCATGTATTTAAAGTTACAGCGTATGAAATGGATTCTATCAAACTACTCCTACGTGTTCATGTTGATTTCGCCCATGCCACGTGATTAAACCGCGAGTGCTGTTGCTTTTTTTCGGAGATAGTACCTTTGTTTGGCGACGTAATAAAAATGGAGTTTCAAGAACAGCACTGCAACATTAAATTTTGTCAGCGTTTAGGTAAAACATCTATGAAGACTTTAAAATTGCTAAGAAAGGTGTACGGTGATTCTATCATGGTGAAATCAAAGGTTTAAAGAGGGCTGAGAATCCATCGCAGATGATGAACGCTCTGGCCGACCTTCGACTTCACGGAACGAGGAAAATGTTGAGTTGGTCTTTCAATTATCTAGACATTTTACGTCATTTGAGGGAATCCATTTGTCGTAAATGGCCACAGATCTGGCGAAGTGGAGACTGGTACCTTCTGCATGACAACGCACCTGCACATCGGTCCCAAATGGTCACACAGTTTCTTGCCAAATCTCAAATTAATGTGCTTTCACACCCCGCCTGTTCACCGGTCTTAGCTCCGTGTGATTTTTATTTGTTTCCATCAATGAAAAAGCATTTGCAGGGACGCCCTTTTGTGTCATCAGATGAAGTGAGAGCAGCATCGCAGGAGGCCTTACGGGAGGTTTCAAAAAATGGCTTCCAGCAGTGCTTCCAGAAATTATACGAGTGCTGGCAAAACTGTATCGTTGCCCAAGGTGATTACTTTGAAGGTGGTTGTGCATCGGCAATATAAACTTTTTAAGGTAAGGAATTTTAAGCCAAGTCCCCGAACTTTTGGATCGTACTACGTATAAATACTTTATTAGTAGTTTTTAAACTCATTTTTAATAACAACAGTTATCTGCTGGTAATTGATTGGCACTATAATTTGAACACATAAATTTATAAGTAAATTAAACAAATTAATAAACTCATTCAGAAAAATCATATTTTTTAAATATATATAAAATAAAAAAATAATATTTTGAATATTATTATGATGATAGATTAATCTTTCAAAAATAACACAAAATTGTAAGAAAAGATTATTGTATACCTCTGGACAACAGAATTAGAATTTTGTATGAATACTAGTTGCAATTTTTTATTTCATTACAGGGGAGCTCATTATACAGGTGTTCACTGTACATTATTCAGCTGAAAATAATATTAGTGTGAATATAGAATCAATTGGCTAGTATTTTATTTCCTGCAACAACTCCTATCACTTGTAGACTATCAAATGTTTAAGATGTTTCAAGCTTTATTTGAAATTAAAAAAAATCCGAATTTTCTTAAAAAATATCAGCTTTGGATATAATATACATACATAAAAATTGTTTTTCAATATCTACTGATTACCTAGGTCTAAAAACTGTTGTCATGACCTAAAATTGCAGTTTTCTTGAATAAATATAGAAGTGAAATTTATGGTTTTTACAGGAGATACTTTTTAATACCCCAGAATAACTATACAAAAGCTAATCCAAATTTGTGAAGTACATTTCTGAGCTTTCCTTGTTAGCAGCCATTTTGACATTTACTGTTCTGATCTTTTTTCTCTCTCTGTTTTAATTTTTTCTAACTTTCAAATAATAGAAATGAAAGTTTATTTATTTTTTAGTTGTTGCATATTTACCTTGAAACAATTACATATTTGTTGATTGATAAAAAATAATTATTAAATTTATCAAAAAATCAATCTTAAAATCAGTTGTCATTTAACTATGTACAATAGATTGAAGTGATTTAAAAAAAAAATTGTTTGTCATATAGTAAAATAAAATATTTTATAGAAAAGTTTTCTAAATTGTTTACAGTTTCTCTTTTATATTTGATGTAAATAACAAATAAAAATGGTCAGAATTAGTAGTAATAGTTGTAGAAGTCATAGGAGTAGCTGCAAACTTAGAGTAAAAAATATCTTGCATGAATAGAAGTTTGATCATAAAATGAATAAAACATGAGAATCTTATTGAAAGATAATTTTGTTCTGATAAAAGATGAAGCTAAAAGATTTTTTGTGAATTTGATTTGGCAGAACAGTAATATCCTGAGAAAATATACAGTAAGATCATAAACTTGAACATAAACTGAAAAATTTGACAATAGAAAATATCAATAATTATTTTAATCAATTATGAATGCTTATTGTCATCCTAATTGTTTTTTGTATGTATTGGCCTTTACTTTCTATCTTATAACATTATAAAACTTTAAAGGATAAGTTTAACTTATTTAAAAATTGATAATATTAAAAATGCTATTTAATCTATTTTTTTTGTATTTTGTGATTTATTTTCTTAAAATAGATTTGTTGCAAATGTTTAAAAATTTTTAATAATGTTTCTACTGAAATCAGATAATTTTGTTAATATGTAAGTAATCTATGTATAATCAGTATTAATTTATGCTTAATTTTTGGAAAAAAATTTTTAGGGTATGAAAGAAATGAAAGAAGCTTTGCTGTCAGCCTGTAAAGATACTGGATGTAGAGCTGTATTATTTAATAGCAGTGGCAGCATTTTTTGTTCAGGAATTGATCTAGTTCCACTACTTGGATCTGGAAAAAAGCAAGTAGCTGAAGAAGTAGCAAATGCTGTTAAGTAAGGAATAATTATTACAATTGCATATTTTAAATAAATGTTATATATATACATATATATCAACATAATTTTATTTTATTTATTTAGAGATTTGATACAAACTATGGGAGTATTTCCTAAACCATTAGTTGCTGCAGTGAATGGTGGAGCTGTTGGATTAGGTGTAACACTCTTAACATTTTGTGATGTGGTTTTAGCTAGTGACAAAGCAACATTTTTCATGCCTTATGCCAAATTAGGATACATTGCTGAAGGAGCAGCAACATTAACATTACCGCAAGTTATTGGAGCCACAATGGTAAATTTTTTCTTATAAAAAATATTTTATCAGTTGAACTACTCTGAATAAAGATGACAATCTTGAATTTTTTTTTAATAAAAATTTTAAAAATTTATTTATAATAAATGTAAAGTATAAAAATTATTTAGAAAAACAACTCATGAATTAATTTAAATTAAATTATCAGACTTCATTGACAGGTATTATTAAAAACTTTATTAAACCAGTTTAATGTTTTCAGAATATGTGTAAGTTATGATTATGAATTTATATTCAAATATTATGAATATAAACTTTTTACAGTTAAAAAAGCTTTTGAATTGTAATGAATCTGCATTGGAAATGTTAAAAGGTAAATTCAAGTACATTGTATAATTTTTGCAATGATAAACAATAACAAGAGAAAATGTAAATAAAGTTTTTAACTCCTGTGATGAAGGCTGCTAATCAATCTGTTTATAAAAAATTCAAAAATTTTAAAATTTATTTTTAGGCAACTGATTTGTTATTAAGAGGAAGAAAGTTAACAGCTCAACAAGCATTAAGATGTGGATTAGTTTCTGAAGTTTTATGGCCAACTCAATTAATGGAGGAAGCTATTCCCAGAATGCATGCTTTAGCTAAACAGTCTCTTTCAGTAAGTTGTTTAATATAATTAATTACTAAAGCAAAAACTTATAAATGCATATTTTGAAAACAAAACAAATTTATACAGTTGACTTTAAAATGAACACAAATAAAGCAAATTTTTCTGTTGTCCTGGCAAAATGTCATTGCCACAACATTAATTTTCATGCAATAAGGTAAACAGAAATTTTATCAGAATTCATTAATTAAACCAAACCATAAATTACTTTTGTAGTCCCAAGAAAAAACCCTATTTCTAATAATGGTTGCTGTTTTTACACTTTTTGATGTAAACAATAAATATAGTACTGTAGAATATTTTATTTTGAGTAGAATAGATTTTTTTTACATATGGATTTACAATTGGAGTTAAAACTTATCTCAAAGATGGGTTTGTCCAGTCCTCCAGTTGTAGAGTAATTCAAATGTCTGGTTTTAGTAGACCACTTTACTGTACTTATAAAATAGGGGTTAAAGTTTAAGGATATCCACCCTTTTAAATGGTTGCAGTTCCATGTAAACATGTGCTAGTTTGCATATCAGGAACTGCATACAGTGATGACAATTTTGGCTAACTTGTGCCAAATTTGGTTCCTTTTTCACTCTTTTTGTGCCAAAAAGTATTTTCTATTTTTTCAAACAATCTTTAACAGCAAAAGTCACGGCTTACTTTTATTTAACCACTCTGATATGCTGCTCCACACTTCAATGGCAAGTACTGTTTCCTCATTTTGTTTGATTTGAAAATCATTTAGAGCATTAAATTGTTTTTGTAAATAAGTTTAATTTTATTTGACTTTATTTAATAAATTAATTCAAAATATTATAATTTAGAGATTTTAATCACTTATTAAGCTTTAACTCTCTAAATTATGCAACCTTAACCTTGACCATTGTTAATATGAATTTTTGATAGAGTGAACTTACTATTCCTCTAGTATTTGTATTTACATGAAAGCTTTTTTAAAGTAATAATTTAGTTACATAATGCTATTTTATATCATTATTTAAATGATATTTTAAAATTTGATAGGAAGGTTAGAACAATTATTGTGCTGACAAATATATTTAAAAAGTTTTTAAATTTCTGATAATTGTATATTACTTTAGTTTTAATATGAATAATACTTTTTGATTTAAGTTAAATGATTAATTTTTACTTTTCTGGCTCTGTTATATATAACAGAGGGAAAGTATGGTGATCAGTCAAAAATGACCTTCCAGATTTTTACATTTTTGGGCTAGGACCTTGAAACATTGAGAAATGTAAAAAAATTCAGGTTTTTTTGTTTTTTTTTCTTGTATGTATGAGTGTTTGTATTCGTTTGTTTGTATGTATGTGTATGTGGAGCACAATTTTGTTCATCTTCTTTGAAGTTTAGTAACTCCTATGCTTTTTTGGCAAAAATTTCTGAAATTTTGCACAGAGGTTTGTGTATTTGGGGGATTGGTGCTATTAAATTTTGGTGGTTAAAGGTTTGACGGGGGAGATAAAGGAGATTGTGTGTCTTATCTCAAGTAGGGTCAAACTTAATGACAATTTTACTCATTATTAGCATTTAAATTTTTTATAAACTCATCCTTATCCTCAAAATTAAGCTTTTTGCCATTTTATATCATCAATAATTAGAAATATGGTATTTTCTTAAAAAAACGTTTATATAACAGATGGCACCACCAAAATTTTAAATGTTGCTGAGAAAGTTTTTTAAAATTGATTAACTAGGCCAGATAAAGTTTTCTACACAGAGATTATTGCTTTTATGTTTTGTAAATTATATACAGTTATTTTTATGATCATCTGTTTAAATTATTATATTTGAAAATAAAATTTTTATCCTGTTCACAGATTAATTGTTGAAAAGTGGCTGTTTCAGCAAATTTTAATTGTCAAATATCCAAATTCTTGTAAATTCAAATGCAAAAAAAAAAAAAAACATTTTTTAAAATTTTTTATTGAGGTTTGAATTACTTTATGTTTAAATTTATAAAATTTGTTATTATAAGTGTTGATATTTGAAATTATAGATTTTTTGTTACATGTGCAGTCAGCAAAACAGTCACATTTGTGATTAATATGCTAAACTAACCTGTAAATCAAGTGCAGTTTTTTTTACTGTACAGCACATATGTACAAAATCCAGTAATACGACACCTGCTTATCTAATATATGTTGGATTAGAGACTCTACTGTATTTGCATATTTAAGTCTAAAAAGCTTTAATTATGTATAAAGTCTAGAAATTATAAAAATAATGCTTAAATGAAAATATTTTTGATATACAGTACATCGCATTAACCTTGTATAGCTTTGTGGTTACTATTTAAAACGTAACACAAATATTTTCGACCCACTTCTAACGTCTTCCTCAGATGTTCTATCAGTTTTTCTGGTGCCTTTCCAATTTTTAGCCATTCAGGTCTTTTAAAATTTTTAAATTTAAAAAAATAATTCTGAAGATAGAAACATTGGAGACCTGAATGGTTAAAAATCAGAATTGCACCAAAACACCTGAGGAAGACCCTAGAAGTGGGTCAAAAACATTCATGTTACATTTTAAATAGTAACTGCAAAGCTATACAAGGTTAGTGCAATGTATTATAATTATTGCTTTGTTTATTAGATGGATTTGATATAAATTATGCATTTTTTTAAACCATCACAATGAAAAATATAACAAAAATTCTTCCACTAAAGTATTCATATCCTTTACTTCTCTTGATGCTGATTACATTTTTTGTCCAGTCCTTTTCATCTTTTATGAATAGATTTGTCTCTGTCTGTACAAATAGCTACAACTATCTAAAAAAACTTTATTAATCATAAGATTCTAATGTTTCTGCTATATTAACTTAAACCACATGATGGTTTATCTCTTTTAAAGACCTGAGGCAGACCTTGACCAAGGTCTGCCTCGGGTTTGTGGTAAATATAAAATTTAACACAAAATTTAAGATATAACTTAAATTAATTTTTATTAATTGGTATTATGTTGGCCCTACCCGGTTCTTATAAAAATATTGCCATGCATATGAAACTGTTTTTCTGTCCTTAAGGTTAATACATTTGCAGTTAGGCAGGCTTTGTATATTTCCATGGCTTCTAAGGCCTTAATATGATCTGTCTGAAATGATTGCCATATTAACATGGCATTTTGGGGATCTGCTCACAAGTCAGGCTCAGTGGAGTAAGTGAACAGGGCAGTGGTATACCTTTTGTTCAAAATGTTGTATGATGTTCTTGTACCCTTTTTTGTATTGAGCATTTAGTGGGCCCAATGTATACTAAATCCTTTTGGAAATATGTTGTCCATTTCAGGAACACTTCACACCCCTGGGGCTCTACATTCATCGACCATGTCTTTCCTGTTGCATAATAACTTATATATTGTAAGGCCCTCTTGTATGAAAGCTTGATACCTGTATTGTCAGCAATCTAAATATATAACATTATTAGTCCTGACTGACTGAGTCACTGATTGATTCATCAATGTCCAGAGCAAACCGTTGAACCTAAAGAGGTGAAATTTGGTACACAGTTAGGGTACATCATGAAAACGCACACTAAGAAGGAATTTTTCGAAATCCTTCTTAGTGTGGAAAACCCTAACTTCAGGTGTATCACCATGTACCTGAAGTTAGGGTTTCATACTTGATTTCTGTTGAAAATCCTTCGGTTGGAGATGCTGCACATGGCTTGTTGGTTAGAGTAGGCATGGGATAAATACATATTAGGTCCCTTCTATACCCATGCTTATAGTTATGTCCTCAACATGTTTTAGCTCTATTAATAAAAGTTTCTTCCCAATTAGTATGGTGTGTATAGGCCCATCTTGTTAGTGCACAAAAGGCTGCCACTTTATACAAAAAAGGGTCAGCCTAGTTTGCCAGAATAAAAAATAGTAAGTAGCAAGGTTTGTAGTAAATGCCAGTTTCTATGCAACCCTTGTTGAAATGAATGTTAATATCTAAAAAATGAGGGCTAGTACTACTTATCTGATCTAATTTAAGGGTTAGACCATACAAGTTATTGTTCATGCATTGTACATTGGGTCCACTAAACACTCAAATAGAATAAGGGTGCAAGAACATTGTTATGAACAAAAGTCATACAACTGCTCTGTCCACTTACACCACTGAGCCTGACTTGTGAGCCAATCCCCAAAATGCCATGTTATATTAACATGGCATTTTGGGCATTGGTTATATTAACATGATATATTAACATTCATTTCAACAAGGGTTGCATAGAAACTGGCATTTACTACAAACCTTGCTACTTACTATTTTTTATTCTGGCAAACTAGGCTGACCCTTTTTTGTATAAAGTGGCAGCCTTTTGTGCACTAACAAGATGGGCCTATACACACCATACTAATTGGGAAGAAACTTTTATTAATAGAGCTAAAACATGTTGAGGACATAACTATAAGCATGGGTATAGAAGGGACCTAATATGTATTTATCCCATGCCTACTCTAACCAACAAGCCATGTGCAGCATCTCCAACCGAAGGATTTTCAACAGAAATCAAGTATGAAACCCTAACTTCAGGTACATGGTGATACACCTGAAGTTAGGGTTTTCCACACTAAGAAGGATTTCGAAAAATTCCTTCTTAGTGTGCGTTTTCATGATGTACCCTAACTGTGTACCAAATTTCACCTCTTTAGGTTCAACGGTTTGCTCTGGACATTGATGAATCAATCAGTGACTCAGTCAGTCAGGACTAATAATGTTATATATTTAGATTGCTGACAATACAGGTATCAAGCTTTCATACAAGAGGGCCTTACAATATATAAGTTATTATGCAACAGGAAAGACATGGTCGATGAATGTAGAGCCCCAGGGGTGTGAAGTGTTCCTGAAATGGACAACATATTTCCAAAAAAATTTAGTATACATTGGGCCCACTAAATGCTCAATACAAAAAAGGGTACAAGAACATCATACAACATTTTGAACAAAAGGTATACCACTGCCCTGTTCACTTACTCCACTGAGCCTGACTTGTGAGCAGATCCCCAAAATGCCATGTTAATATGGCAATCATTTCAGACAGATCATATTAAGGCCTTAGAAGCCATGGAAATATACAAAGCCTGCCTAACTGCAAATGTATTAACCTTAAGGACAGAAAAACAGTTTCATATGCATGGCAATATTTTTATAAGAACCGGGTAGGGCCAACATAATACCAATTAATAAAAATTAATTTAAGTTATATCTTAAATTTTGTGTTAAATTTTATATTTACCACAAACCCGAGGCAGACCTTGGTCAAGGTCTGCCTCAGGTCTTTAAAAGAGATAAACCATCATGTGGTTTAAGTTAATATAGCAGAAACATTAGAATCTTATGATTAATAAAGTTTTTTTAGATAGTTGTAGCTATTTGTACAGACAGAGACAAATCTATTCATAAAAGATGAAAAGGACTGGACAAAAAATGTAATCAGCATCAAGAGAAGTAAAGGATATGAATACTTTAGTGGAAGAATTTTTGTTATATTTTTCATTGTGATGGTTTAAAAAAATGCATAATTTATATCAAATCCATCTAATAAACAAAGCAATAATTATAATACATTGCACTAACCTTGTATAGCTTTGCAGTTACTATTTAAAATGTAACATGAATGTTTTTGACCCACTTCTAGGGTCTTCCTCAGGTGTTTTGGTGCAATTCTGATTTTTAACCATTCAGGTCTCCAATGTTTCTATCTTCAAAATTTATTTTTTTAAATTTAAAAATTTTAAAAGACCTGAATGGCTAAAAATTGGAAAGGCACCAGAAAAACTGATAGAACATCTGAGGAAGACGTTAGAAGTGGGTCGAAAATATTTGTGTTACGTTTTAAATAGTAACCACAAAGCTATACAAGGTTAATGCGATGTACTGTATATCAAAAATATTTTCATTTAAGCATTATTTTTATAATTTCTAGACTTTATACATAATTAAAGCTTTTTAGACTTAAATATGCAAATACAGTAGAGTCTCTAATCCAACATATATTAGATAAGCAGGTGTCGTATTACTGGATTTTGTACATATGTGCTGTACAGTAAAAAAAACTGCACTTGATTTACAGGTTAGTTTAGCATATTAATCACAAATGTGACTGTTTTGCTGACTGCACATGTAACAAAAAATCTATAATTTCAAATATCAACACTTATAATAACAAATTTTATAAATTTAAACATAAAGTAATTCAAACCTCAATAAAAAATTTTAAAAAATGTTTTTTTTTTTTTGCATTTGAATTTACAAGAATTTGGATATTTGACAATTAAAATTTGCTGAAACAGCCACTTTTCAACAATTAATCTGTGAACAGGATAAAAATTTTATTTTCAAATATAATAATTTAAACAGATGATCATAAAAATAACTGTATATAATTTACAAAACATAAAAGCAATAATCTCTGTGTAGAAAACTTTATCTGGCCTAGTTAATCAATTTTAAAAAACTTTCTCAGCAACATTTAAAATTTTGGTGGTGCCATCTGTTATATAAACGTTTTTTTAAGAAAATACCATATTTCTAATTATTGATGATATAAAATGGCAAAAAGCTTAATTTTGAGGATAAGGATGAGTTTATAAAAAATTTAAATGCTAATAATGAGTAAAATTGTCATTAAGTTTGACCCTACTTGAGATAAGACACACAATCTCCTTTATCTCCCCCGTCAAACCTTTAACCACCAAAATTTAATAGCACCAATCCCCCAAATACACAAACCTCTGTGCAAAATTTCAGAAATTTTTGCCAAAAAAGCATAGGNTTATGACCGCACGAGTCTCCGTCTTCTCCATTTTTGACAAAGCATGTGCACACTGACTATCTGCTAAGCTGTCGTGGCAAAACTTTTTGACAAATCAAGCGGAAATTAATATCGTATCTTTAGCAAAGATGGCTGAATTATTCCCGCCAAAAATTAAATTGATCGCAGCGCCGCATATAGGCAAGGCCGCGAACTTTCCGAACAGCCCTCGTATTTGCAGATTTTTTAAGAAATGTATATTGGAAAATAGCTTCAGATATTAAAATCTGTCATTATGCAAAACAGTTCATAGTCTCAAAACCAAGGATGTTCTGATTCTGGTTATCAAATAGGCTTATATTTATGCACTATATGTTGTAATAGCTTAATATTTATCTTTATAGACATATATGAATATATGTGTCTGTAAAGATAAATAAATAAATAAAAGATAAGTAATATACTGTAAATAGTATATTATCTTTATTTAGAACAAATAACAAATAAAGTATGATTAGTCATTTCTAATATGCTTATTTTCTTTATTTTGAATATAATCTTATAATTTTTCATGTTTTGATCATATTGCAACACTATAATGCAGTAACATGCTGATAATTTTATTAACAGTTTATTGTGTAGGCATTCAGTATTAGTAGAATTTCTGCGAATAAAAATTATTAACATTATCATCTTTGTAAAACCCACTAAAACTAAAAAAGGTTGAAAACATTAGTAATAAATAAATTTTTGCTCAGCAAACATTAGGTGATATGGTGATTGATGTATTTTAGTCCTTTTGCTGAGAAAGCTGTGGATAACTTTGTAAAACCATTCAGCATTGTTAATGCAAAGTTATTTAAAAGGCCATCATAAATCTTATTAAAATATGTTATGACTGAGTCCTCGATGGACATGATTGAAAGGTCCTCTAGTGCTTATGACAGAAAGAATCCAAGATGGAAGAAAAGAATCAAATGATGATTATTATTAACAATAAGATTTAATACAAAGTACTTTACAAGTTTATAAATAAGTTACCAGTAAATTCATCAGTGATTATAAAGTAGATAATGATTAAAAGGTATAAATGAAAAATGGATTTAAAAATTTGTAAAAAAAGTCATATGAAATACAATTTCTAAATGTACACATATTATTTTATTTGCTTGTAAAACAAAAAGCCTTTTGTGCTACTTCTCATATTTTAATTTGAAATTTGTTACTTAAAATTCAACATTTTATTCTTAAAAGAAATGCCATCAAAAATCAAAAATTGTGAAAGAAATAATTGTTCTGAATGTTCTTTCATGTGAATTATTTTTCTGGGATTGCTTTCCAAATTTTGAGAATACAGATTTATAAATTAAATCTTGAAAGAATTCATTTCTGTGAACTTCCATATAACCTGCTCCCCTATAAAACAATGAAAAAATTGCAACTAGTACTCATACAAAATTCTAATTTTGTCATCCAATGGTATATTTTTTCTTCAACTTCTAGGCCTAGACCTAGTTTTAAACTTGCATAAAATCATTTTATAATGCATGTCTCAATAAAGCAATTTCCTATAACATGGAATGTATCCCCCATATTGTACAGGATTCTACTGTATAGATATAAATTAAACAATTTGGAACTTAACTGCAATAAGAGGAAGAGTCTAAAAAGATCAAAGATGGTTGTGCACATTTCAATTTTAATACAAATATTTTAAGAGCTTTATTCATTTTTATTAGATTAATATCTTTAACAACTTAACATTCCTTTAGAAATAGGTCAAAAGTATAATACATTTTTTTTATGAATTTAATTTTAATTCTGTAGATGTATAAAGTCTGAATGAATGTTTATCTGAAATGTTTGAATAATTGGTTGTATATCTCCTCTAATACTAATTAAATAATTTAATTATAAGTGAAAAATTTTTAGCAAAGTTATTATTTGATAAATTTTGAATAATTTTATGTATTGTTTAAAAAAGAAAAATGCTATTATACTATTTTACTTTAGGTTTTATTCAAAAGTTTTTATATAACTTTAACATAAAAATTAAATTAAGGATGTTAAGATGAGATATATTTAATAGTTGAAATAGACTTAGAAAATTCAGTTGGAAAATTGTAACAGTATGGTCTTGTTTTAGACGTATGTGTGTCAGTTGGCACTGCATAAAATGAAATTCTGTATAAATTTGTTCCACTTCAAGTAGTCCTAGATGATTGTCTAGACACAATTATGCAACCATTTACAATTAACTTAAACAAATTTTTATGTATTTGATGCCAACATGCCATCAAAACTAGAACCACAAGAATGTTATAGTTTTAGTTTGTTTCAATTTTAGTTTTATTTTTATACAACTCACATACTATAGACAGAACTTTTTCTGCTTTTTTGTGTCCACATTAGAACCTTTTATTTTTATTTCATATTGAACATTTTTTAAAGATAAGCTGTAGAAAATTTCTTATATTTAGTATGCCATTACATTTGTTCCACAATGAATTTTTTACTAAAAATAATCTCATAATGATGCATTAATAATCAGAATTAGCCCTATGCATTTAAAGGTTAACTTAAACATTTGCCATCTGTGTATATCAGCTCCTTATAAAACAAGATCTGTACTTTCAATCACTTCTTGGAGAAAAATAAGCCTCCATTTAACACTTTGATTCATTATGATCTTATTCCAATCTGTGATTATTAGATACCGTAGGATTTTGTGTACTTGAGAGAATTTTCAGTTTCTCTGTTTAAAAAGTAACATGATTTTGATAGTAAGCAGTTTATTTCACAATTGATTCAGTCATTTAATAAGATTATTTCATGTGCTACTCATTAATTTTATAAATCTATTTGGAGAAAAAGCATTGAAATGTTGCTAATAAAAAATACATTAAATGTAACTTATAATTTCAATTAATCTCAAACCTTTACCAGAAAAAAAAATTATTTAATATAACATTTTCAGCTACCTAAACAACCATCTTCAGAATATATTATATATAATATGTAATAGGATGCTTAGATTTGAACTTGAATCAATCAGGACATCCCAGTTTTCAATACTGACTAAGCACTGATCTCAGTGTTCATTAAAAGTCGTTCCTTTTTTCAACGTTGAAGTGGTGCTGTTGTCAAAGCTGACTCAACACACTCAGCACTCAACAGATATGTTGACCACTACCTTCCAATGAATTATGGGTAATTGGTGCGACATTTGAATGAAATCCATTTTGCTGAGAATGGAATTGTGGGAACTAAGCACTTTTTACTCAAAGTTGGAACGTCATTGATGACGTCAAATTGTTGGTTGCAACACTCAACACTCATGTTGAAAATTGGAATGTCCTGAATTATGCAACCTAATGAATAGAACAAAGATTGGAATATTGACAAAATTGTTATGGGATATAACAAAATTAATTTAAATTACAAATAAGATAAAATAAATGCACAAAAATTAAAAGGATAAAATATAAAGTAAAATAAAAATATGTATATAGAGTAATATAAAATGAACACATTAATACAAATTAATTATATATAATTGTGTACAGAGATTATGCTAGCCTAAAAATTTTGTGTCAGCGACTCATTAGGTTAGTAAATGTGAGTGAATTTAAGTAATTCACGAATCACTTCGGTCAGTTTTGAAAAACACATTTATTATATACTTTGTACAACATTAAAGTTGAAATATATTGTAGATATTGCAACTGTTAAGAAATACACCACTGTTACATACATATAAATAACTTGACTTGGTTGCCAGATTTTTTTATTGTTCAATGATCAAAAATGTTTTCTTTCACACCCATTTTGCGGTAAATTTTGAAAAAATTTTGTCTAAATTCTCATATTTATGTTAATTTTTGCTATTTTAGCCATTTTTTTTCAGAAAAGTGAAATTTGTCCAAAATTTGCTCACAATTGTTCTGGGAGTAAAAAAAAACTTGTATACACTTAAGCTTGTCATTTTTACTTAGAATTTAGAAATTATGCATCTATATGCCTATCTGGCAGTCCTGATAAGACTCATGCTTTTCAAACCTGCCTATCTGTCAATAAGGCTACAACTTTTCAGAGCCAATCAAATAAACCTTTACTTGTTCAAGTTGCACAGATCTTAACTTTTACCCAATGGAGGTCTGTCTAGCTTTGTTTAGATTTTTGACCACTAAGTCCAGTGTTTGCAAGATCACTTCACCAGTATTTGCATTCTCTGAATTCTTGTATAACAGACATGGTATACGAGAGAGTACAAGATCAAGAATGTCGCAATGTCAAATTTCACTGATTCACAAACTGACTCATTAAGTATTTTAATATTTGAATATTGTTAAATAAATAGAATTACAAATTTATAAAAGTATACACATTAAATGTTTATTAATCATCAGTAAGAAAAGTACAATAACCTTCATAAGCTAATCCATCATATAAAGGTTCTGTAACTTGTATTGTTTGTAAATTTTCCATTACACATATATGATCTTTTGGACATCTACAAACTTTATAAATTTCATATTTATCTACTGTTATATGACCACAAAATTCTTGAGGAAAGCAGGTTTTCTTCTGAAAGACAAAAATTATAAGTAATATCTTATTGATTAAATTTAATCAAATAATAATAATAATATGGTTCCAATTATTATTATTGTTATTGTTTTGTTATTCATTAAGAGTTAGCAAATAAATAGATAGAAACTTTAAATTACATTAAAACAAGAAAATAATTAAGAAACTTACCTCCAAACACTGGTAATGTTGTATTTGAGTTAAAGTATCAAGTTCATTTTTTGTTTCATCAAGATATGATAACTTATAAAAGTGCATTTGTGAACAGTAACAAAAAATACTTGCTGTAAGTGAAACTACTGGTAAATTGCTTTTCTTGTTGTGAACTTTTATAGCAACTTCTGTATTATTGCACTTGTGAAGATCTTTTATTTTGATGCAAAACTAAATGAAATACAAAACCATTTTATTAAAATATTTTCTTTTACATTAATGAATAAGTCAGTGATTCGAATTAACGAGTAAAAACTGATATTAATCGCATAATTGCGTGTAATATAAACTAAATATGTTTTTTATTAAAATATTTTCTTAAAACTTAATGAATAAGTCAGTGATTCGAATTAACGAGTAAAAACTGATATTAATCGCATAATTGCGTGTAATATAAACTATATTTAAATACATAAAACTAGAAAATAAGGGGTATCGTGATGTGTATTATATTAGTCACACATCTCTAGAATAAATTTATGATGATATATTACGTGTTATTGTCCTAAATTTCTGCAATTTATATTCCACGCTGCTACTAATTGTTTATCAAGTCGAATTTTAAGTGCTTATAGAAATTGTTCTAGATAGAGGATAAATATTATACGAATGATATGATCAAAAAGGGAAGAGAAGAATCTATAGAAATTCTTTTGATGAAGTATGTTCTAATCTTTTATTGTGTCAATTAAGTGACGACAGTTTCGTGTTTGTATCCGAAGACATCTGTTAAGAATTAATGCGAATTTCTAGCTTAATTAGATGTGAAACACGAAGAACATAAACAGTATTTTACTCCACTGATAAAGGGAGATGCTGATATCACGTGATATCAAGAAAAATTCTAATTTGTAAACGTCATTTATAAGTTACTACATACTTAATATAATTATTATTTAAATTATAAAATAGTAAATAAACTAACTTTAAAAAATTCTTTAATTTATTTGCATCAAAGTAATGAAACATGTAAAGCAGGAGTACGACTTGTGATAAAACATCAATGAAAATATTCTTACTGCTCCAATGGCTCGTTTGATTATAAAAAATACTTCTTTCAAGAACGGTAATTATATTAAAATAATAATACGACATTGTAAATCATTTTCCTTTCTGTCAGGTTATATATATTTTAATTTATTGTTCTCCTCCACTCACAGATTTTAATAAAACATCCAGAAAAATCGAACAAAGCCACCATTATTCTATTGGTGCTAGTAAAAGCATGTAATGTAATTCAAACGATAATTAAGATGTATTTTCATTAAACAACATAAAACGGCAAACAATAAATTCCGTATTTTTCATGAAGAAAAATTCTGTTTGTGTTTCCCCTTTAAAAGAGTCTTTCCTGCAGACATAAGGAGAAGCCCATCTGTCATCGCTGAATAATCGCCAAAAGCAAATGCTGCCATCTGGAATATTTTAGTAAAGGGGAGGATTTTATGCCTGCTAATCGTATTAATAGAGAAGTATATAGGTGACCATAACACTTCGTATAACCATCTGCGACCGCACAGGACATTGAAAATTACCATCTCTCTTTAATATGGTTAGCAACAACAATTTCTGTAACATCTTTTGCATCTCGCTTTAATAATTACATTCAAGTTATCATAATTAATGTACGCGTAGGAGTGCTAATTAAATATAAATACATAACATTACCATCTCTGTGCCTTTTATTGGAAAATAATTGTCAACATCAGATATCAGCAAAGTTAGTCATTACTTTTAAAATATTTGACTTTCGTAATTAAATTTGACTAAATTTGTTAACTTTATTCGAATGTTTAAATATTTACGACTCATTAAAATACATAAACGTAATATTTTATCGAGTGGAAGAAGTTATTACGGAGAAAAGCGCGACATATAATTATAACGATTCATTTAATTGTTTTAAAAATTTAAAGATGCTCGGACCGAAAAAAAAAGAACAAAAGTCATTTATTTTGTCAATTCTGTGGAGTTAGAAGCGAAATAAGACGGCCAACAGCATTTTGGATCGTCATGGGAGTAGAGAAAAGAATTGAACTTAATCTATCGTCGGTGTCGACAGGAGAATCCTCCTGATTGTCTCTTCTCTTCCTCTTCTAGCCACCCGGGGGAAGTTCCTTCGTTCGGGATTCACATCGTGCATCTACTGTCTCCTTTAAGCCTGCAAAATCCCTGTATCACGTTAGGCTAATCTGGTAATTAGTAAGCTAGAAGCGTTCTGGGTGCAGTTTGTGCGCCTCCGACTTTTTTAGTTTGTTCAAAACATTTTAGAGTCTGATACGAATTAAAATTGTTACTTATAATGTATTTAATTCTTTTTACTTACAAAAATTCCGAATTCGCTTGTATTTTTGGAGGGTTTTTTTTATGTNTTTATATTTACTTTTAGCTTAATATTTTGTTTACTATAAATTAATATGTAAGATGACAAAAAAAAAATACCAGTTTTATTTGAACTAAAAAAATAACAGCCCTCAACTGTTCAAGGATTTCTGAAAACTTATGGTAGATGGGTACCATATTTATTTAACAAACTTTAATAGAAAGTATGCATAAAATGAACAATATTATAATGTAAAAGTTATAGCTTTTAACTGTTTTCTTATTATTGGTATATAGAAAGTAACTTTCATTATAAAGATAGTAGTTACCATTTCAAGTATAGTTTGTTTTTAAAATCAAGCTTTCATAAATAAATGTTTTAAATTCTTTATTAATAACAGATATTAAATGACATATACAAAGCCTATAATAACTGTGCTCAAATAGCAACTGTGGAGAAAATGTGAAAATTTAAAACAGTAGCTATTGCTGTTATTCAAATAAAACCAATATTAAAAATAGAATTGAAAAATGTTTTAATTATCAAAAAATGTCTTTATTTTTATTTTCCTGGTTGTTATAGTAACAGGGAAAGTAGTATAATCAACTAAATTTTGATCCTCTGAGTATTTTGCATTTTCAATGTTTTAAGGGCCCCTGGGTCCAAAAACATTGAAAAAAAAGTACAAAATTCTGTTTGTTGGATAGGTGTATTTGTGTGTGTTTTGGCCTGTAGTTTGCTTTATATCCCAGGACCCTATAGATCAAAACTTTTGAAATTTGGCAGGAATATTTCTATATATGGGGCATTTGTGCTATTATATTTGGAGATTATAAATATGTTATACTTATAAATAGAGGGGATAAGAAATCATATCTTGAGCAGGTTAGACTTAATGAAAATTTTACCTGTTATTGGCATTTACATTTTTTAAAAACTTACCTATACTTCCAAAATCATAACTTGCTTTTTTCTAACTTTTAGTAATTGAAATAGAAAATTATTGGCCTTTTTTCCAGGTTCACTTAATCTCTTGTTTGAATGTGGGGAGTCATTTAAGAGTCCTTGCCATCTGTATCAATTTTATCAAAGTTCATATTGCTAATAATATAAAGTGAATTTAGTGACTATATTATACTAAGTTTTGTTGGATAATTAATTGATTTAATCAAATAAATGTTAAGTAATTTGATAAATTTTCTTCTCTCTTGCCTTCTCTTGATAAGTTTAATAATTATAATTAAATTAATATTTAATAATTAATTTAGAAGGTTTTGGAAGAAAAGAATTGACCATTGGGATTCAAACCTGCCACTCTTGCTTATTGTGTGGTCACATTGCCAGTTAGGTTGCCTGCCCAGACCTTTGTCTGATTTTCACTTCCAGAACTATTAATTTAGATATAACTATACTGGTTACTCACATTGTTGACTGGGGATTCCTTTTATCTGGCTATTGCTTTATGCCGGCTTGATATATAAGAAGTGAATACCATAATGTTGTAAATACCAAAAAATAAACTTTTCAGGAGAGATTAAAAAAAAATAACACTTTTTCTAGTGAATGAATTAATTTTAATTTTACAATAAAATGGTAAAAAACTCACTAGGTTACAAATTCTCTGGAATATCAAAATGATGTAAATATAAGACATAATGTTTTAGGCACCAAATGTTGCACTTAGAATTCAATTCTTCAATAAAATGTATTTACAGAAAAGTGACATTTACAATATTATGGCATTGCACATTTCATATATACAAATATAAACATTGTTTAACCTGACTATATTGGACTATAATCTAGCAATCATTTGACATTAATATTAAAAGATCAGGTTAAACAATGTTTATATCTGTATAATACCAAGCCAGAGAAAGCTATAGTCAGCTGAGTGCCAAGTACAATTCTTGGGTACAAGTCAGCTGAGTACAATTCTTGGGTGCTGAATGTGTTCCTAATTGGTACTGTAAGAACAAATATAGTTATATCTAAATGAATAGTTCTGGAAGTGAAGATGAATGGAGGTCTGGGTAATGTAACTAACTGGTAACATGACTGCACAGTAAGTGGAAATTGCAGTTTTGAGTCCTGCTTCAGGATGATTCTTTTTTCTAGAACCATTTTGTATTAAATATTAATTTGATTTAATCAAATACCTTCCTGGATAATTTAATTGTTAAAAACGTTTTGAATACAATATTTATCATATAAGAACTATAAATTTAGAATATTATGACAATATAATTAGGAATTACAAGATTAACATCTATTATATTTATTTTTTCAAATCAAATTATGCTATTTCAGTTGAAAGGTTATTCTTTGTTTTGTACTAAAAAGATCTATGTACTGCATGCAAAAACAAAATTTTATCAACATTTTTATCATAAGAGTTAGAGATTTAAAAAGTTGTACATCATCTCTGATCTTCTACTTTACTAACTAGTCACATAATGTGTACTTTCAAAATTTTTCCACAGTATACGCTCATCATCATCGGCCATTATTGCCCACTGCTAGACATAGGTCTCTCTAATAATATCTATCTTGTCTTTACTGCATTCAGTTCACCCCTGGGCTCTTCTGAATTTTGTCTTTCCATCTCATTTTTGGTCATCCAGACAACATCCTTTTTCTTGATCTTGAGGTCCATTCTGTTATTGTATTTGTCCATTGATTGTCTGTAATTCTTCTCACATGTCCAGCCAACCAATTTTTTTTCCTGTAATGTATTGTATTATATCTTTAATCTAGTTTTACCATATTTTGAAACCATGTCATTCTTTTTATTTGTTCTATAAGCACAATGTAGTGTAATAATGATCACTTGGCACTATTCACTTCT